TTTGGATTGTACCCAAATGTAAAGAAAATGAAAATTCTCACATGTGAGTAAATAACATCATGATAAATGGAGAAAAGATGGAAGCTGTCAAGGACTTGACTTGACTTGACTTACTTACTTTACTTGACTTACATAATCAGTGCCCATAGTAGCAGCAGTCATATCGAACAATATATTACATTGGACAGATCTGCTTCAAAAGACCTTTTTAAAGTGCTAAAGAGCAAAGATGACACTTTGAGGAATGAGGTGTGCCTGACCCAAGACATGGTATTTTTAATTGCCTCATAAAAAGTTGAACAATGAATAAAGAAGACCTATGCTGTGGGCTAATGTGTCAAATGCCAAGCCGTTTGAGCTGCAAGGTCGGTGGTTCAAGTTCACCAGCTGCTCCTTGGAAACCCTATACAGGGTCAGAATAGATTTGACGGCTCTTAATAGCAACAAGAATTAGTGCATTTGAATTATGGTGTTGGCAAAAAATGTTGAATAAACCATGAACTAGCAGAAGATTAAATCTGTCTTGGAGTAAGTGCAGCCAAGATGCTCTTAGACACAAGGATGGAGAGACTTCATCTCTGGTATTTTAGACATGTTATCAGGAGCGACGAGTACCTTGAAAAGAATGTTGTGCTTGGTAAAGTGGTGGTGGTTATGTGCCGTTGGAGTTGGTTCTGACTCATAGCGACCCCATACAGAGTTTCCGAGACTGTAAATCTTTGCGGGAGCAGAAAACCTCATCTTTTTCCCGCGGAACAGCTGGTAGTTTCGAACTGCTGATATTGCGGTTCACAACCCGATTCGTAACCACTATGCTACCAGAGCTCCTTTGGTAAAGTGGAGGGTCAGTGAAAAAGAGGAAGACCCTCAAGGAAAGGATCAACTCAGTGGCTACAGCAGTGGACTCAATCATAATAATGATTGTGAGGAAGGTACAGGGCTCGTCAGTGTTTGGTCGCTATGTATAGGAAACAACTTGACAACACCTAACAACACCATCTCGTATATATATTTGACTATGAAACGTTGTAAATGTTTTATAAAGTTATAAACAAAATTGAGTAAAAATAAAGACAAAAGGGCACTCTTAAAAATTAAAAGCAACATGAAAGAAATGACTCATATGACACATTGATGACTTAAATCATGACTGTCAAGAATGAATTATTTGAGACAGTCATTTGAAATACAGTCATTTGTACATCTTTTTGTTGTATGTTGTAGAGTCAGTTCTGACGCCATCTCCACATATGGCAGAATTGTTCTGCCTCATTGGGTTTCCTAGGCTATAATCTTTGTGGGAGCAAACCGCCAGGTCATTCCTCCTTTGGAGCTAGCTGTTGGCAGATTCGAGCTACTGATGGGTTTGAAGCACAGACCTTTCAATTAGCATTTTGCCACCAGGACTCCTTAAAGAAAGGAAGAGCTATAAAGAAATCATAGACTATTTACAGCGATCATATTGTTAGTAAGGATGCTGGCATTTTCCTTTTCACCTGGCCTTCCTTTGCTCTCTTTCTCTCTCCCTGCCCTTGCCTTTTATGCTGCTGGTCCAGGCTGGCATCTGAGGCAGCAGGATTGGCACGAGGGGGCAGGTGACTTCTTTCTCTTCCTCTGTCACACCGAGTCCTTCCTAACCCTGTCCCATTTCCTCACTTCCACACAAAGCTTGCTTTCTCCTGTCAGGAAACTGATTGGCTCTGGTTATGATGAATTTTTAGCTTTCTGTCTGAAGCCTTAGCTGTGTGTAGTTTGTGAGCCAGCCACATTCTCTTGGAGTAAATTTAGAAAAGTAGTGGAGCTAGAAGGCTGAACAGATTCGGAAGTACACAGTTATACAAATATATGTATATGTGTCATAGTGACACAACTCGCCAGTTCTTAGGCCTGGCTCGTTGGCATGTTGCCAGGCATGTATGTGAGGAACGCATCCAAACAAACCATTGAAAATTTCTGTTTTTTATAATTTTGAGTTTTCCCCTAAAGCTTGTAAAACTGGTTTTTCTTAGAAAACTTACCATCTCCTTCCATGCATCACCCTGGTTACTGTGATGCCCTCAGGGAGCAGCTTGATAAATCACATAACCCTGGTAGCTTTGGAACCAGTTCTAAGTATGCATATGTGAGGTGACATGCCACATTCCACCATATTTGCATGTATATACAATACGCATACTGCTGCATACAAATATTATAGCATTGTTAAAATGGGCTGTAGGTGGAGGTTAGGCTATAAATTATCATATAGGTGCTGCCACACCATCACAGGAGTATTGAAAAGAAGTACTGATTTTCTATAATGCTGTTACTAAAGCCACAAAAACACTTCCTATTTCTTCATTGATTGTTTATGAAACTAAGTTAACAAACGTGGTACAAATTCTTTTCTACTCAAATTGTATAATGGTTCCCTTTAATGTTTCTGTAGTGGTCCACAAGAACTGAGGCAGTGTATGCAAGTAGGTCTAATTTGCCTCCAATTTGACATGTTTGTTTTGATTCTTTTGGACCCGTATGTTGTTGTTAAGTACCGAGTTGGTTCCAACCCATAGTGACCCTGCATGGAGTTTCTAAGGAACAGCTGCTGAGCTTGAACTGCTGACCTTGCAGTTCCAACCAACTTTGCAGTCATGTTCATTTCACCTTGAACATGAGAACTAAATTGTTCTTATTGTCGTTAGGTGCCATTGAGTTGGTAACGACTCATAGCAACCTTATGCACAGCAGAACAAAACACTGCCCGGTCCTGGGCCAACCTCACTATTGTTGCCACTCTTGAGTCCGTTGATGCTGCCACTTGGCCAATCCATCTCACTCATCTCTCCATCTCAGAGAAAAAAGGGTCTTCCTCTTTTTCTCTGGCCCTTCACCGTACCAAACATGATATCCGTCTCCAGCAACTGGTCCTTCCTGACAATATGTCCGAAATATGAAAGACGTAGTTTGGCCATCCTGGCCACCAAGGACTAAATAGGCTATCCTTTTTAATAATATGGTGGCGCTGGGGGTTAATGTGCCAGACTGCAAAGCCATTTGAACTGCAAGGTCGGTGGTTCAAGCTCACCAGCCACTCCTCAGAAACCCTATACAGGGTCGCTCTGGGTTGGAACCGACTCAATGGCACTTAACAACAACAACATATGAATGATGGAGTCCTAGTGTGGCACTGTAATAAAAGCACTAGACTGCTAACTACAAGTTCAGCAGCTCAAACCCACCAGGCATTCCTCAGAAACCTTATTTAGGGTTGCTAAGAGTTGAAATCGACTTGCCAGCACTTATTAATAACAACAATATGAATGATAGTGATAGTTTCAGGAGTCCTGGTGGCACCCTGGGTTAAGTGTTGGGCTACTAACTGCAGGGTCAGCAGTACAAACCCACCAGCCGCTCTGCAGGAGAACGATGAGCTAATGTGTTTCCACAAAGATTTACACGTTGGAAACTGTGGAGCAGTTCTGCTCCATCTTGTAGGGTCAGAATCAACTCTACAGTACTGAGTTTTGTTATGTGATCATTTACAGTCTAATTTACATACATAGCACATTTCTAGTAACAGTACGTTGTTGTTAAGTGTCGTCGAGTTGGTTCCGACTCATAGTGATTCTCTATAGAGCTTCCAAGGAAGGACTGCTGAGTTTGAACTGCCGACCTTATTGTTCAAACCGACATTGTGGTCGAGTGCTTATCCTACATACAGAGCCACACCAGGATCCAATAACAGTATACTTATGAATATTTATAAGTATATATTGTATTTACATGTTATATTGTAAAATGCTCTATGCAAATAGAGCACTAGTTATGCAATCTCATAGACACATCTTTCGAACTGGCTTTAAAGTTATTGGTGTTCTGGGACTCATCAGCTGTCCCCTGAGGGGCCTCACAGTGACATTTTTATTTTTCCCAACAGCACAAACAAAGCCAGAATTGAGTTTCAGAACTGATAAGGAAGCTAGACTGACATGATCACCTTTGGGTCACAAGACAAGCTTGTACTTTTCCTAAGAAGTGTTTAATTCAGTCTCTTGTCTGAAGATCCAGTGGGGAGCCCTTGTTTGAAAAGATATGCAGAATAGCAGATAGGATTCTGGTATATTTAGAAGATGAACATAGACCAAGAAGTTTGTTAGGAAGCTTCATCCCAATTAAATTTCATCAAGAAATATTTTTAGGTTGGATTCTTAACAAGGAATGAACTAAGCTGCATGTTGACTTTTTCTGGAAAGTGGCTTCAGATTCAGATTTTCAGCTCACCCTTTTTTGTAAACTTAGGTACTTATGATTCTAATATACCTGGCTGAGATGGCGCCTCCATGCCCCAGACTTGTGTATTCATGGCATGTCTGTATGGATGTTTCTCAGTCATGTCCATAACAGAACTCTTCATTTTACCTTCCAAATCCAGTCCTCAGTGCCTCCCCCAGGTCAGTACAGGACACTGAGTTGGGACGCTATCTTTGACTCCTCCCTTTCCTTCACCACTTAAACAATAAATCCTTTCAGCTTATTGAAATATACCTCACACACATCTCCTTCTCCATCTTCACTACACATTTCCCCGTTTAAAGTGGCAACATCTTTCTTGTGAGCTGCAATAGGAACCTCCTGATTCATCTCCATTCTCCTGTGCCTCTCCAATTCATCCTCTACACAGCTTTTCCAACGAAATCTGGATCGTGCCCACTTTAAACCCAAATTCCTTACATTGGACCCTTGCCAATCTGGATTCCATTGCTATTTGATCCCTTTCCTTGGTGTCATTCATGGTACTGTATCTGTTATTCTAACCTTCATTTTGTACAATGTGAAATGTATGATTTTCAGGTGCTGATTGTGAGTTTTGTGTGTAGCTGGTGGAATGAATCTCTCTGTGCCCCAATACGCTGATTTCCACCATTCTGGGTGCACACTGTACATCTCTGCTTTTTGGAGGATGGGCACAGGAAGAAATGCCACAGAAACGTAATGATCTGCTCTTCTTGCTTTATTTCCAGCTAGCCTCAGTGAGGGAAAAAGTGAAGGATCTCCCAGGCCTCCGGGCCCAATTTGATGAGCTCTATGGGAAACTGCACACGTCTGGCCAGGTCACCACCCACACTTTGGATGCTATGTTGTGCCACACGCCCAGGGACAAGACATCCTACATGGACCTGTTAAACAAGAGACCAGTCAGCCGTCAGACTTTCCAGCCACTCAGCCAGGCCCTGTTGGCTGAGTAAACTCTAGGTTCATACCACCCACAGGTCTGAGGTGGAAAGAACCCTACTTCTAGTGAACCATGGACTTCATAAGGCATCGGGCATCAGCCCTTCAGCAGACACTGTCTTGACACTTGGTCCCCTCCCTTAATTTCCAAGTGCTGATCTGAGAAGTTATTAAGTGTGCCAGTGAACAGCTGAGAGACAAGCAAGCAGAAAACTCGGCTCCTTCAGAAACAAGGCTTTGCCTGGGTGGAGTGCTGAGTATCCTGGAAGGAATGTGGACTGGTCTTCAGTGCTGCCTCCAGGACCAGAGTGGAACCCCACAAGCACTGGCAGGAATGAATCCCACACACAGACAACTCTGATTGATTTTCAAGGGAGCAGTTCCTTGCAGGTTTCCACCTTTGCTGAATTTAGAACCCTATTCTACCATGTTAGGAAATAACCCAGGATGTTCCCACCACTTCTGTTACTGATACCAGTGATTCTGTGCATGGTACATGATTCCTCACGTTCCCATCTGCTCAAATGTAGCAACAGTTGTGAGGATGGCACAGGACGGGCAGTGTTTCATTCTGTTGTGCATAGGGTCGCTGTGAGTCAGAACCGACACCCAGTGACACCTAACAACCACAGCAACATGTGTAGCTGTACAGTGATTTGAAATTTACATTCAAGGTTGTCGGGTCAAATTTTCTCAAAAATAAGAAAAATAAAAGGGTTCCTAAAAAACTTCCTGAGATGATGTTTGTCTTACTTTCTCAGAAATACAAACAAAATTAGAGTTTAGCTTTCAGAGCTGATATGGAAGCCCAATTTAAATGATTACTGCTGTGGTCACAGGCAGGGCTTGTGCTTTTCAAAGTGTGTAAGTGCCAATAACACCACATCATAATGCTTTTGTATTGCCCAGTTTTCTATTGTTGTCTTGTTCAAATGCCATCGAGTCAGCTTCAACTCATAACCACCCTGTATAGAGTTTCCAAGGAGTAGCTGCTGGGCTTGAACCACCAACTTTCTAATTAGAAGTCCAGTGCTTATCCTACAGCACCCTATATGGCCCTGTGGTTTGTTTCCTTTGTCAATGATATTTTCTTTTCTCTCTTTGGATGCCGTATTTTTTTGTAAAGAACAGAACAAAGTTTTTCCTGTTTATGTGGATTCATCACTTAATGGTTTAAAACACAGCAGCTGGTGAGTTTCACCATCTCTGCTCACTTGTGTTGAAGAGAAACCCACAACAGCCCCACCTCAATTGTGCCTTTTGCCTCTGAAAGCCCACGGCAGCTGCGTGCTTAGAATTCTGCACCCTTCCTTGTGTGTGACTGCAAAAACTAAGGTGTGTGACTGCAAAAACTAAGTGTACTGTTCTTCTGAGGCAAGAATTGTTCATAGACTCAGGAATTTTTGAGTAGGAGGAATCTTCTGAGTCTCTTGGTTTAACTCTCTCATCTTTCAAGGTGGAGAGAATGACTTGTCCAAGTTGGCAAACTAAATTGAGGTGGAGCCAAGATGAAAATCCAGATTAATAGTCCTTCCCATTCCACCAGGTTATGTCTGCTCGGAGAGAATGAGAGAGTGGAATATTCGGAATTGAGTCAGGTCCCCAAAAGATTAGAGTTGTAAATCCTAAATTGCTATTGCTGTGGGTGTAATCCCATCTGTGAGCAGGACTTTCCTTAATGTTACTAAGACCATAGCAGTATAGGGTGTGTTTGTAAAAAGAGACTATTAGGAACAGAGAAGGACGCACAAACAAGGGAAAACACACACCAGATGACGATCTACCTGGAACTGAGGAATAGAAGCTGAAAAAAGACAAGGATCTTCCTCCAGAGCTCACAGTCTTCACCTAGAATTTGGACTTTAAACTTAAACTGTGAGAAAATAAATTTCTGTCCGCTAAAACCATTCATCTGTAGTATTTTTATTACAGTAGCACTCCAGGTGTGACGGTGTAGGATAAGCACTGGACTGCTAACCACAAGGCTGGTGGTTCAAACCCACCAACCACTCCAATACAGGGTCACTATGAGTTGGAACCGACTTGACTTAACGACCAAAGGGGAACAAGGAAAATCTTTTCAGATATTATAGGATCGGCTGCCACTTAATGTTTCCACTGGTCAGTCCCATGGCTTCTGTGTGCCTCAGTTTTCTCAGTTGTTCAGTGGGGATAATAGTAGTGCCTACCTCATAGGAAATGGTTGAACATTAACCATTTCCTTTTGGTACAGTGACTGTGTGTTCCTTCCATCTTCTCCTGATGCTTTCTGCATCGTTCAGTAATTTGCCCAGAGAATCTTTCAATAACGAAAGTCAAGGCTTGAGTTTTTTTCTTCAGTTCCCCCAGCTTGAGAAATACTGAGTGTGTTCTTCTTTTTTGGTTTTCTGATTCCAGATCTTTGCACATTTTGTTGCAATATTTGGCTTTATCTTCTTGAGCTGATCTTTGAAATTTTCTGTTCCGCTCTTGTACCTCCTCATTTCTTCCATTTGTTTTAGCATCTCTATGCTGGAGAGCAAGTTTCATTGTCTATTCTGACATCCATTTTGACCTTTTCCTTCTTGTCTTCTTAATGACTTTTTGCTTTCTTCATGCATGATGCTCTTGATGTCATCCCACAACTCTTCTGGTCTTCAGTCTTTAGTGTTTAATGTATCAAATCTGTTCTTCAGATGATCCCTA